CGGCGTCAAGAATAACTACAATTACAGGAGGTAATTACGTTCAGCTGATGGTCATTAAGCTCCTCTCCCAGACTATAAAAGAGACTGCTCGTGCCACGCCCTTCTTGCAGAAGTCAACATTTGGGACTAAAGAGAAACGAACTTGGCAGGCTGGATTGCTGCCAGAGTTTGTTTGCATTGCTGCCAAGGTTTCTCGGACTTGCTGCCAAAGTCCTTATCAGTTTGTTTATTTGCCTTTCAGCCACCGAGAGTCTGGACTTGCTAATTAAAGGACATTCCATTTTACGCTTGTCTCGGCTTTTGTTACTGAACGGAGGAGGGGGTCAGAACACCTACCTACACTCTCTCTCTTTTCTCTCTCTCTCTCTCCATCCCTTTATCTACCTACCTAACTACTCTCTCTCACTCTCTCCCTACCTACCGTATTTCTCTCTCTTTCTCTCCCTCTCTATCTCTCTACCTACCTACCTACTTTTTAAAAAAATTTACCTCTTCAAAGCTTGGTGCGTCTTATACTCCGAAAAATATGGTAACTATTTGCATGCCAAATATTTCACATTGATTCTGGAGCCTTAAACTTTGTCACAGTCCAGCCTAGACGCAGAGGCTCAAACCCTGCAACGGCTACAAAACGGTTGACATACGAAGGTGAATAAGAGAAATGAAATGGATTCCGTCTGAGGTTTCAGTCCAGGGCAAACTTCATTTATTTGTATCCCACCTTCGTTATTTTTAGAAATAACTGGAGGCAGCAAATATATTCCATATTCTAACTGCCTTCCTTCTCCTTTTTTCTCCACAACAACCCAACTGGCCAGCCACTCAGCTGCTTTCATTGCTAAGGTGGAACTAGAACTCACAGTCGCCTGGTGATTGGCCCAAAGTGCCCCAGTTGGCTTCCATTCCTCAGGCAGGATTAGAACTCACCATTTCCCTAACTAACATCTTTTAAAATATAATTTGCAACTTGATATACAATTATTTGAATTTCTTAAATCTTGCAAAAGTGAGTACGCCTCTCTATCATGTGTGCATTATGTCACCATGTGTTTCTCCCATACTCCAAATATCCATGCATTCCATCATCATCATCTTCATCATCTTCATTTAACAACCCCATAATCCCTTGTGGGCAGTGGTGGGATTCAAATAAATTAACCACTGGTTCTCTGACCTCATGATTTCTTCCAACAACCAGTTCACCAAACTGCTCAGAAAGTTAGTAACCATTTCTCCTGAACTGGTACAAACTGGCTTGAATCCCACCACTGCTTGGGGGGTAGAAACTGGGTAACTGAGTGGAGCTAGCAGAGTGTTTGAATGGCTGGATGCCCTTCCTGTCGCCAGTGCGGAGTTTTGTTCAGCAGATATATTCTCATCGTGCCCGAAGAGAGAAATATCTGCCTCTACCTGGGGTCGAACTCACAGCCTCCCAATAGTGAGACGAGAGCGCCACCCGCAGGCCACCGCACCACTCCTAATATCCGTACCTTTCCATGCCATACTCAAAATAAATAAACAAGGGACACTCACCCCTGCAGAGTGCACCATGCATTTCGGGGCGCCTGTCGTGCCCGAAGAGTACATGATAAAAAGTGGGTGGCTAAAGGGGAGCTGTTCGAACTCGAGCTGAGGCGCCTGGTCTCCCTTACCCATTCCAAGGAAATCTTCTAAAAACACGCTGAGTGGAAAAAGAAAAGAGAAGGGTAAAAATCAAGATTTTCATATTACTAAGATTTTTCTATCACCCATTAATTGTATTGATTAGCCCTCTGGGCCATATCGGAGTGCAGAGTTCCAGAAACACATTTACTAAAATTTGATAAATGCAATTTAAAATGGAATTGCATGAAACACAATTTAAAATGAAATGGATAGATGCTTAAAAGTTAAGGAAAAGGAAGAAACTGAATACTGGGACTCATTTTATCAACATCTAGCCAATAAAAGCAGAAGTTAAAAATATGGAACTATAAGAGAAGGACTAACTGTATAAGGAAGGTATATTAAAGTGGATAAGCAAATACTACAATGATTATAAGATCAGTATCAATGGGATGAATATTACTGTAAGTATTATGATTATCTCTCAAAATTATGTGTACACAGACAAGACACTGTTTATTTAGTAATGGAATTTCTTATACAAAATAAAACTTTTTAAAACTCAAAAAAAGGAAATTGGAATAAAACACAATAATAAATAAGATTTAGATAAAATATGATAAAAATATATTATACTAAGATTTTTCTATGCAACCATCAGCAGGCTAACCTTGGGAACTAAAAGACCCCCAAGCTAATGCAGGAAGTACTCGACTTACGATCACAATGGAGCCCCCAAATTTATGTCGCTAAGTGAGACATTTGTTAAGTGAGTTTTGCCTCATTTCATGACCTTCCTTGCCACTGCTGTTAAGTGAATCCCTGTGGTTGTTAAGTTAGTCACACCATTGTTAAGTGAATCACGCTTCTCCACTGTTGGATGGTCGTAAAAGCAGATCATGTGACTTTGGGATACAGCGACGGTCATAAAACAATCTTAAAATTGGGTGTGAGTCACTTAACAACCAGCTCTCTTACCAATGGAGGTATGGTCGTAAGTCAAGAACAATCTGCACTTTTATGAGAAGGTTATATTGGTCTTCCAAATCTGAATAGAATAGAATAGGCGTGACCCGTCAAAACCGCGGTCCACTAAAGCGTGCCCGATTAAAGCGCGTACCTGACGTCATCAGCAGCGCGACAAATACGACCGCGGAGAAAAAAGGGCGCTTTAAAAAGCACTTTTAAAGCAAGCCGATTCACATAAAGGTAAGGGTTAGGTTNCCAAAGCACCCAAAGGCCAGACAAGGAATAATGGATGGAAACTGACCAAGGAGAGATTCAACCTGGAAATAAGGAGAAATTTTGTGACAGTTATAACAATCAACCAATAGGAACAGAAATTGCCTTCAGAGGTTGTGGGAGTTTCATCACTGGAAGCTTTTAGGAAGAGACTGGGCTGCCATCTGTCAGATATGGTGTAGGGTCTCCTGCTTGGGTGGAGGTTGGACTAGATGACCTATAAGGTCCCTTCCAACTCTGTAAATTTGTTAGAATTACAATCACTCTATCTAAGATGCAGGATTTGGGTTTGACTAGTCTAAAGAAAAGAAGAATTAGGGGTGACATAATAACAGTATTCCAGTATTTGAGGGGCTGCCACACAGAAGAAAGGGTCAAATTATTCTCCAAAGCACCAGAGGGCAGGACAAGAAACAATGGTTGGAAGCTAACCAAGAGAGAAGCAACTGGGAATTAAGGAGAAACTTCCTAACAGCGAGGACAAATTAACCAGTGGCACAGAAGTTGCCTCCAGAAGTTGTAGGTGCCTCATCTACAGGCTTTTAAGAAAAGTCACCTATCTGAAATGGTATAGGGTCTCCCACTTGAGCAGGGGGCTGGACTAGGAGACCTCCAAGGTCCCTTCCAGCTCTATTCTATTGCATTGCACATTCACCTTTAGAATGGATAGACAAACTCTGCAATTTTAACCCAAAATACTGTGAAGCTTCTGCAACTGCAGTTAAGCCAATTGGGAGAATAAAAACACCCAAACATTTCAAGAGTGGGCTTATCCGCAAGTATAAGTAGTAATTGATTTTAATCTCCATTAATCTTGGGCTAATCTGATCTGGTCTCCTTGGAGGACGAAGAAGGATTTTCTGGAGCGTGTGCAGACAGAGGGAGCCTCCAAAGGATGCCCAGTTTGAAGACTTTCAACAATTTAATATTTGTTTTTAGGGAAAGAAAATGTCAGCGATGCAACAGGGACAATCAACCAGCCCAAAGAGAACAAAAACACTTCAAAGCACCTCTCCCTCCGCAATCAGACCATCATAGATTAACTCCAAGGTTAACTTCAGACCAACAATCAAGTAAACAGTACCTCAATCAAGAAACTAGGCAGTGGATGGAAAGTAGGCAGTGGAAGAGGGTCGAAGGTGGGAGAAATACCTACATTGAGCAGCCAAGTAGACGAAGACAGAGGTAAAGATCCAAGACAGGAATATGGGAGGCAAGTCAAAAAAAAGCATCGCAATTGAAGTATTGAAGCTGGCAAGAGACAATGGATAGATGATTTCTCTTTTTTGTTGTTGTTCTAATTTGCTTCTCTTTTTCTCTCTCTCTCTCTTTTTTTAGGTAGGTGACATGACTAGAAGTTAGAAAGAAAATGTCTTTTAATAGAGGATGAGATGAGTTAGAATAAGCTACAATAAATTATAGAAATAAGAGACAAGAGGAATATTATACACTTCTAGAGAATAGAATAGCAACAACAAGAGAAAACATGGGTGTTTTTTTAAGGGGATCTGATGAGAGGAGATGGGACATAAATAGTAAATGATTTTTAGCCAATTATAATAACAACAAGGAAATGTCAATGGACATTGTTTAACAATATATGCATACGATGGTATTGGCTAAAGTAACTTGGATATAAATCCTAAACAGTGAGTTGCGGGGGGGGGGGCGGTTTAGAAACTTTATTAATTGACTTTTACTTAAAGGATATCATAAAGGTGTAATGTTATTGGAGGATTTTTTGAAATAGCTAATGAAGGCCATTATGTAGTTGTGTCTTTAAGTATGAAAGATTTGAGGCAAAAGCACATTCAAATAATTGTAGTCAAATGAGAATTGTGGTACATTGATAGTAAGATATACAA